AGGCCACTCTAGTGTCTTGATAATTAAGGAGTCCGTTCAGCTTTCTTTCAATAAATCCAGATTTAAAACCCTACTTCATCCTGGGTAACTGAGTGGCATCACTAGCATTCGCAGTCTGTGCTCTTATGTAGTTAAGCCTACATTCGAGTTAGAGATGGGGTAGATAAGCCAAATTTACTATCTACCTAGACCTGTGCTGGAGACAAGACGTATGAATGACTTAACCCACAGAGGACATCAGCCCATGTTATCATTTGAAGTAGTGTATGGACTTTCCTTTCAAATATGTATTGATTTTCACATGAAAAATTTCTTGATTTTACTCAATCTCTTAATTTTGCGTTGTTCATGTGAAAACGTTCCATGTGTAATCGTTGCACAGCTGTGCTCAGATTTGGCATATTTATTCTGAATGTAAGTCTATGCCTAATAGAGTTCGTTAAACTGAAGTGGCAAATAGTTTTTCACTTGAACTACACTTTGCTGGTGTCACCGAGTAATAAATCCTAATCTTATGTCGTTCTAATCCTTAGCACTCAAAAATTCCATTGATCGAGTTCTAATGCGCGGTCTCTAGTTTAATTGGATTGGCATCGCGAGACATTTTGATGAGTTCCATGTAATTGGAAGTAGTCAACAGGAATTGATGAACCTAGGCTTTATGCTAGTTAATTTTGTTTAATGGCTCTATTCAATATTATATTTTGGTACACTATAGAATTCTCAGCACAGGGTATTTCAACAAGTTACTTAGGCAAAAAAAACCTAGTAACGAAGACAAAAAAGGAAAAAGAAGGTTAAAAAGTCAACTGAAAAACTGTACAACTTTTCAAATTAGGGACATGTTAAGAATGCAGTTTATTGACTAGGTTAACTCTAACAACCTGTTCGTCAGAGAGAATATTTGCTGGGTAAGGTATTGTAGAACTTTTATACTTTTGCTTGCGTGCATGGATTGCAATGCAATTACGTCTCGTTCTACCAGAAGCTGTACGAGGAGAAAGATAAGAGTGAATGGGATGGTTAGTATCTGATAAAATAACACTTTCCAGGAGTTTGCATGACTTTCGATGTCTATCCACAACCATATTAATTATGACCTCGAAAGATTCACCACACATCTTGTTAAATGTCTTCAGCACTCTCTGCAATACAGCAAAGTATTTTCTGAAAAGCTCGGGAAAGAATAGTGGAGAACAGTAAAGGATGATAGGTAATATACAAGAATAGACAAATTGTAAGCGTAAATGATGAGTAATTCCAAAAGCATGCAGTCACTTTATGTAGAACGTCAGACGGAAGACTTTCTTCGATAACATTAAAACAAGCGAAAAACAAGAGAGATCAGAGGAAAAGGTAACACCAAGATAATTGACCTTTGACACTATTTATCAAAGAGCCTACAATGGCACAAGCATTATGGGATCTCAAAATGGTGTTTAGATTCTGTTTCTGTCTCATGCTAAAGTTAACAGCCTGAGATTTAGAAGGATTGAGTATGAGACTTACCAACAGACCAACAATCAAAACGAGACGAAAACTCATTCATTTCTATAGGGTGTAAAGAGGAAGAGATAGGCATACATACAGTTAGATCATCCACATATTTCACAAGAGTGTTTTCTGTGGAAGATGGCAGATCATGCAGAGAAGAAGAGGCGAAAGAACAGTTCCTTGTGGTACACCTTCATGAGACAGTAGAGACTCTGAACACTTTCCTCCCAATACAGTGTATTGTTCCCGTCCAGAGAGGTAGGAACATAGTCAGTTGGTTATCCAGCTGTCAGTGTTGATTAACTTGTTAATTAAACGTTGTCTTGGCATAGAATCAAAAGCTGAAGTATAGTCCAGAACTTGTTAGCTAAGTGTATGAAAACAGTGCACGCTATCTGGGACATAGATTGAAGCACATTCGGTCACCATAGAAAACGTTAGTTTCTTTGCGATTGCAGATACTTCCTGCTAAAATTGCCAACCATCACAAAACCTATACGTGGTTCACAAATGGATCCCAAAAATTACCACTGATTGTTATTATCGGGGCATAACAGAGCCCCACATCAGAACGTAGTAGCTTTCTAGTGCTTCTTGAGTTTCAACACTACCACAACTGAGATTTATTTGCAATGAATAGAGCTCAATAAAAATCCATTTAAAAATTTTTATATCTGGTCAAATTTTCGGCAGAAAATATTTTAGCTGTAATTATGTTTCTCACAATTTTTATTTCCTCTCTCGCTCGCTTTCTATGTTCGACTTTTTGTAGACAAATCGAAAGTGGATTATAGCGGTAGGAAAAA